GCACAGGGCGTGGCCCGTCAAATTAAAAGGACTTAGGAGCTGAGGGCTACATCAGCATGGGGGTGAGTAGAAAATGAAGGCTAATCATGTTTTGGGTGTACTATTCCTTTAACATCAGAGTGCTTCCTAGGTATAACACACTTCTGCTAGGAAAGGAATAAATGCAGACGACAAATTAAATTACAACATACAATTGAAATGACGAAAAAAGGGATTGTTATTGTTCAACGTACAAGAAATGTGCAAGTTTATGTAGGGATAACAATAATTGTATAGTTCCGAAATCAAGAAGGAAAGAAATGTGGTTGAGTAAAATACAGCCCCTTCATGTCACCGTTTAAGGCCTAAACTGGCTCATTAAATAAAAGCTACACATTATCAGTACTTGTGTTGTTTGTGTCTTCATACAATGATGTTTTACAACAACAAAGGGATTTCAAAAGCTTATTAATGGCTCCTTTCCTAATGAAGAAGTACAGGGTCAAGTCAGCAAGAGGACTTATATTAAGGAGCATGAACGGTACAACACTGAAACCACTCTGTCTCGCACGTTCAACCAGGCACCAGATGACATTGGGAACGAACAACAGTGTGTAAATTAGCAGGACTGTGACCAAAATTGCTATGATTCTTTGTTTTTCCTCAGCAGGGACACTGCGAGCTGCAGAAAGCGATTTGATGGTCCCAACCAAAAAGAGAATGAACAAGGGGAGAGGGATGAGATGGAAGATCGCAAAAATTGTTTCTCTTAGCTCAAATTTTACATGAAAATAAAGAGGGAGAACATAAATTAAAGGCACAATCCAGACCACAAGACAGACCACCACCACGGGCTTGATGTTCCGGTTGCATCTGTACCACAGTGGCTTGGTGATGATCAAATACCTGTAATACAAGATACATTTTCTTAAAAAAAAAAAAACAGATTCAGGATAATATCATTGGAAACAAAATGAGAATGATACATCAGTCATTTTATAACTTACCTTTCCATGGAGATACAGACCATGAATCCAACGCTGGCCATCTCTCCAAAGAAATAGATGCAATCGCTCACCTGATCCTCTCCAGTCTTCTTCCAATATGCCATGCAACACAGTTGAATCAGATCAGAAATATGAAGATTGATGATGTAGATGGGAGGAACGCGTTCTTCTCGAATCTGTAGATGAAGTTCACTATTTACCAAATTGCACTCATAGCCATTCTTTAAAATACAGATTGCATTAAACACATTGAAGAAAATGACATTTGACTTGCTGCCTCTTTTCAGCTTATAAACAAGAGATTCATAATTTAACAATTTATTGAAAATAGTAATCCATTAAACTTGGGCTTTGTGTTTATAAATGGCTGTTTCCTAAAATTCAGTATCAGTTACAAACAAATGTTATGGTTGGAACATCCTTAGTCCTTACTGATAAAACTTTCTTTGATATCAAACTAATTTCAGTTTGATATGAAAAAATGGATAACAAAAAAGAAGTAATTGTAGATGTTTTTTATAATAGCAATAGAATATATTTTGTCTATTTATTTGATATACACACAGGTACCAATGCCAGTATAACTTGATTTCCGCCTTTAAAAGGAGGGTCTGAGCACCCCTGACCTACCAGAAAATAAACTGCAACAATCACAATAAGAGTCAAAGGAAGACCGGTGCAGATGATGATAAGTTGGACTACATGCAAGACTGAATGGGGACTAAAGATAACTCCAGGAGAGCTGACGCTGTCATTGTCGCCTTTGCTGAAATTCGATTTGTTGAACTGGAATGCTTCCATTTCTTCATACATCATCTGCAGACAGACGTGAGATCATAATGAGTTTGATCAGGTTCTCCCCATTTATTGTTGAATATTCTCTGTAAAAAGCTCTGTAGTGCACATCACAACAGTGTTGGGATCAAGGTTTCAGTTTACTTTTATGTGAGTTATAGTTTTTGCTAAAATCCAAAATGAACAATGACGTTTTGTAAAAAAAAAAAAAAAAAGAAAAGAAAAGAGAAGACAAATCATCAACAACTGGGTTATATTTACAAGAGTTGATATGAAGAGGCAATAGAATTTGTCTCTCATGGTGTAGTATTATTGAACTACAATGTAGATGATGTTTTTATCAAAATGCAAAAATGCATTTACTCCAAAATTGTACTAATGTACTAATAAAAAACTGTAAAAAAAAAAAAAAAAAAAGATATGATTTTAAAGTTCTGTACAGAAACATTCCTGCTTCATTTGTTAAAGGGTGTTTTATTATTGACTGTTATTAGCTTTATTTCTTTCTGAAATGTTTGTAGGTTTTAGTAGTAAGGTTCCACTTCCCTGACCTTTGGAGCAAAAACTGAGTGGGATCATTTATTTTACCAGTAACCTGTTTAATTTGACCCCAACTGTCCTACCTGCTCAATTTACAGAGCTCAGCTTTGTCAGATCTTCTCTTCAATGGCTAAGCATTTACGCAACTGAACTCTGAAACAAAGGCTCTAACATTAAGACTAAGGCTTTTATCTCGTTGTATTGAATAGCATATAAAGATACACTTAAAAAAAATCAAAAACAAATATCCTGGTTGGGTTGACTAAAACATCCTTTTCCATAAAGCATAATTGCTATCAGGTTAAAAGCAGTCCTTAGAAATCCCAGGACACTGTATAATTTAATGGATGAAATGTAAACTTACATGTAAGTAGCTCAAAATAGGTCCTATGCTCCACGAAGATTATTTCTTAATCTACCCTGGTTGTTCTCCAGCTGGTAAAATGTACTGGAAATAGATTTTCTGGTGTCACATTAAGTTTTTATCATCTAGTACTTGGAGGGAGCTGTCTAAAGGAAATGAATCACTTTAGCTTTTTGAGGCAATTTCACCATTAACGCATTAATAGTTTTGTTGATACCCTTAGAAATCAATTACTGTGGGAATCCAATGAATAAATTATGTCTCTCAAAGCTAAATGGCTTTTTTTTAATGGGAGCATGATTTCATTTGTTTCATTCCTTATTATAGCACAATGGTCTTTAACCCTGGGCTTTACGATTGTTTTACGATAAACATGACTCAACAGTCCTTAATGTCTTGTAATGGTGTTGATGATGTTATGTCTTTTTCAACCAAAATAAGACTTAGAGACTTATACTTAGACTTCCTTTATTGTCATTGCACACAAAAACACAAGGTGAATCTTGACAACGAAATGTCGATTACTTGGCTACGAGTTTAGCAGAACTAAGACCTTATTCTAATCAAATATTGACCCATATGCAAGAAAACCACTCAGGATGATAGAAACTGTTTTTAAGAGTTTACTGAGCAGACAATTTTTGATATTTTAGAGCTCATCGAGACACTGAATCAGCTCTGCTGAAAGTCACTCATGAAATTCTCATGGCCTCTGCTAATAGACTCGGTACTCATGCTGTTAGAACATAGTGCTGCCTTTGATACCTTCGATGAAGATATTATTTTAGAAAGGCTTGTAACAATTTTAATGACACAGCACTTGGTAGGTATTTGTCTGACAGACGACAGGAATGCCTTAAAGAAATAAAAACCTGAATGACTCTGAACATTCTGCTTTTGTATGCTGATGAAAAAATGAATTGTCTTTGGACCAGAGTCTCTGAAAAAGAAACACTGTCACTTCATCTTGATGGCATAAAATTGGCTTCCGATAATAACATAAAAAATATTCTTGTCATTTTTGATCAGGAGTTTTCATATGAGTCCCATATTGAAAAGGTATTTCTTGTTTTTATTGCGTTAATATTACAATAAATAAATAAATATCTTGTCCTGGGATGATGCTAAAAATCTCAGCATTTGTTATTTCAAGACTGGACTATTTTAAGTTTTTATTTCTAGGAATTCCACAAGCTTTCCACATACTATAGTTCAAAGCCATCAGCTTATCTCAAATGCTGCGTCGTCTATAATTCTCTTCTTGACGACTTAAAATTGAAGCTAAGTTTTATAAAAATTCAAAGTTCTTAAAAAGCAGAAAAAGACTCAAACAAAGATCAAAAAATTCAGGCAGGGGCAGCTGAGTCCGGGTCCAGTGTGTTTATTGCTAAACACAACACATTCACACTGAGCTGGTCACCGGTGAGCCGAAGCTGGACAACTGGTGAACACAGCTCCCTTTTATACATTTTTTATCGGTGGAAAACCCCCTTCAGAACATATTTCAGTC